TTTTTTTTTTTGAGCAGAGTCTCTGTTGCCCCAGGCTAGAGTGCCTTAGAGTCAGCTTAGCTGACAGCAACCTCAAACTCCTAGGTTCAAACAATTCTTCTGTCTCAGCTGCCCCAGTATCTGGTCCTACAGATGCCTGCCACAGAGCTCAGCTAATTTTTATTTTTTTGTTTATTGATTTATTTTTTTAAATGCTTTATTTTTATTTTATTTTATTTTAGATTTTTGCACTTGTCATTGTTGTTTAGCTTGCCCGGGCAGGTTCAACCTGCCATCTTCGGTGTATGTGGCTGGTGCCATAACCACTGTGCCACAAGTGCTGAGACAATTTTAATTTTTTTAGTAGAGACTGGGTGTCATTCTTGCTCAGACTGGTCTTGAATTCCTAAGACAAGATCTTCAGACCTCAGCTTCCCAGAGTGCTAGGTTTACAGGTGCAAGTCACTGTGCCTGGCCTAACTTTGTCTTAGTAATGACTGCTGTTAGTAATGACTTCAGAGAACATTTCTGGGCAAATCAGAGGACTAAGACTCCCCAAAGATCCAGAATGTCCCACCCTACCCCACACAAAGAGGATACCCATTAATCTTATACCTTCATGCTTGGGTGCCTCCTTCAATAAAGTTAAGATCTATGCAAACACGAAGGTGTAAGGAATAATTGAGAGACCCACCTTCACTAAATGAAGGAGGCAGAAATCCAAGGAGGAGTCTATTTGATAAGAATGATGCTAAAATAATGACATAATAAGAACTTAATACTTCTTAAGCACGGTGTACCCAATACTATTCTAAGTACACGAATTATACTATGAAATTGTCCCAAAAGTTCCCAGGAACAGTGTGCTGTTACTATCGCTATTTTAGAGATAAAGTAACGGGGGCCCAGGGAGTTAAGTAAATTGCCAAAATCACATAGCCAATGAGGATCCACAGCCCCAATTCTTTACCATTCTGTTAACAATTTACAACACTGAGTTCTGATATACTTTGGAATTTGCTATTTTTGAAGAGCTAAAAGGCATAAACTTCGGTGACAGCACACAGTCCCTTACCTGGCTTCCATGTTCCCAACCACACGCAGATAGTTCTTGTGCCGACGAATCCGGCGCTGGACCTCGTGGAACAGGTAGCGCAGCTGCATAAAGATGACCAGGCTGGCCATGGACAACCAGATGTTGCCAAATAACTTAAAGAGAAAGAGAAGAAAACGCACAAGAAAATGAACGTGAACCTTCTAGTGATGAAGTATGGTGTGCGGGAGAAGCTCTTAACTGCTGGGGAAGGTGAACTGGAACAATCTCTCAGAGAGTAAATGGATATGTTTATCTCATCACCCTCAACCATGCACACACCGTTCAGCCCAGACATTCCATCACCAGCAATCTCTCCTGGGAAACTAGTCAGAAATCCACAAGCTTTATATGTAAAAACAAAAAGCAAAAAGAGTCTATCCATGCAATTATGAAAAACTAAACAGGGAAATGAACAAAATGCCCAGTAGAGGAACAGTTAGGTTGTAATGTAAAGGTATTAATTATACTTATTATAATGTGCCATTAAATATTAATAGTCTCTTTTTATGTGTAACAGTTGTGAAGGTCAATTACATGGGAAAATAATACTTAAGTGAAAGGATATAATTATCATTATAAAACTAAAATATGACAAATTATGTAAAGATAGCAAACAAGTGAATATAATCTAAATAGCCCATCATGATTTTGGTTAATTAAATCACAGTAAATCTATGTGATGAGATTTTTATCCTACGGAATTTTACATGGTTTAGAAGAACTGCTGCTAGCATAGGAAAATGTTCACAATACATTAACTAAAAAAACTGAACTGTATGTCCAAAATAATTTGAATACATAAAGAAGCAGTTCAATACAATAAAATCTTAAGTTATGTCAGGGCACTTGTTTTCTCCTTTTGGGGGGGTCGGGGAGAAAGGGATCTTTATTTTTTTTTTTTTTAACAAAGAATTATTTGTTTCTTGGAGTTTTTGACCAGAGTCTCACTATGTTGCCCAGGCTGCTCTCGATTTCCTAGGCTCAGGCAATCCTCCTCCTGCCTGAGCCTCACCAGACGCCAGGACTACAGGTACAAACTACTATACTCAGTAATTTTTCTTTAACAAAAGTATGGGCTCGGCACTTGTAGCTCAGTTGCTAGGATGCCAGCCACATACACCAGAGCTGGCAGGTTTGAACCCAGCCTGGGCCTGCCAAACAACAATGACAACTCCAACCAAAAAATAGCCTGGTGTTGTGGTAGGTGCCTATGGTCCCAGCTACTTGAGAGGCTGAGGCAAGAGAATCGCTTAAGCCCAAGAGCTTGAGGTTGCTGTGAGCTATGATGCCATAGCACTCTACTCAGGGTAACATAGTAAGACTCTGTCTCCAAAAAAAAAAAAAGTATGCTTTCAAAAAGTAGACTTAAAAATGTGCTGTGTCTAATCCAATAATTTTCAAAACTACTTTGATAGGCTTATAATTTAACTAAATTGCCCACCAACTACATTGATTCCCACCATTTATAGGATCACTGTGGTGTTAACCAATGAAGCAGATTTATAACATAATTTCCCGACACATCAAAGTAAAATATAAAGAATGAAGGTAGGGCTCGGCGCCTGTGGCTCAAGCGGCTAAGGCGCCAGCCACGTACACCTAAGGTGGCGGGTTCAAATCCCCAGCCTGGGCCCGCCAAACAACAATAATGGCTGCAACCAAAAAATGGCCAGGCGTTGTGGCGAGCACCTGTAGTCCCAGCTGCTTGGGAAGCTGAGGCCGGAGACTGGCTTGAGCCCAGGAGTTGGAGGTTACTGTGAGCATGATGCCATGGCACTCTACCCAGGGGGATAGCTTGAGGCTCCATCTCAAAAAAGAAAAAAAGGAATGAAGGTAGCAAGAATTACGTAAAAAAACTTTTGATTATAAAGATGGAAAACGTATGACTATGAAGTAGCCTAGCACTGCAGGAAATCCCATTACCACCTACCAAGTAACTGCTAAGTATTAATAGCCACGGAGACTATGTGGAGAAGCAGCCCCTTAATTTCATGCTAACGGCCTATCTCCTGACTTGGTCACAGAGTGAACTAAGACTTCAAGAGGAGCAAACACCTCCTGAGTTGGGCACCAGCCACTGTGGTTCCACCACACTGCTGTACACCCAAAGACCAAAAAAAAAAAAAAAAAAGGAATGGTACACAGCTGCATTCATTTTTATAGTCTTTTAAGTGGTTCATCTACCTCTTATTCCAAAGATTTTTGTTTTTATTTTGAGACAGAATCTCTATTGCCCCAGGCAATAGTGCCATGGAGTCAACCTAGCTCTCAGCAACCTCAAACTCTTGGGCTTGAGAAATTCTCCTGCCTTAGCCTCCCAAGTAGCTGGCTGTGTGCCACCATACCTGACTAGCAAGGATTTCATTTTTTATATACAAACCAAGGTTTCTGATTCTGAAAGCCCAGCCCTCAGTAGAGCTCCTGTGAGAGCACTTACCAACATGTGAATGTGGTGCATGAGGTCCAGGGACAAGAGAGTGAGCTCCATGACAAAATCTGTGTAATAGACATACGTCCCCTTTCCTTCCCAGGTGCCTTCATGGTTGAGGTCCCAGAGGTGAATTACGTAGCTGCAACAAAAAGAGAAAAACACTTTAATAATTTACTGTTATAAATAAATATGGCTGAAAAACTTCACAATTTAGTTTCATGTTTTTATATATTTTACACCTACTATAAATTATGTAATAATTAAATTCTACTGTATAAGACTCTCAATCACCTCCCTCCCAAATCTCTACTCACCGTAAAATCACATGAGCAGTCCTCACTGTCACAAGAAGAGACTATAAAAAAAGGATACAGGCACATATATGTTTTAGTAAAATTCAGAATAGCTCAAGCCACGCTCACTGTTACAAAATGATAAAAGATACACATTTCTCCGTTCTCTTAAAAAGCTGATTATTCAAGTTTACCAACCATTTTATTTCTTCTACTTCAGATTTCCACGGAATAGCTTCATCACCTAGAAGTCTAACTTTTATTGAGCTTTTTCTTGTTAATAGGTGACAACCAGTAACACCTGTCCATATCCTGGGGCTGGCTCCTACAATCTTAAAATTCACCCTAGTGGTTTAATAATCACTTCAATTTCTACAGCATTAGGCCACCATAACTGATTACTGGAAAGGGCATCTGACTGTTAAATGGAGACATTTTAACTATGACTAGAGTTTAAGTGCTACCATCCTAGATGAGTACCTGCTCTCTCCCTAATGCTGTATGTACTATATATAGTCTGTACATAAAAATGAAATCCTTGCTAGACAGGTATGGTGGCACACAGCCAGCTACTCAGAAGAATAGAAAATGAAGGAAATAAGAAACCAAATAAGCCTCTGATAGTACTTTTTATTATAGAAACTGATACTAAGAAAAATTTCCTCTTAATCTACCAGAATAGAAGTGTTACATTTTTGAGATTTAATGCCCATTTATAAATGCAAAATATTTTATATAAGAAACACTATGAAGATACAGAATATGATTTAGTTCAAAAGATCAAGTCTGTAACATGATAAAAGTTATCTTAAAATAAACAATAATAAACTAAAATAAAAGTATATACTGTACATGTACTACAATCCTCTTGAAATTTAATTTAATGTGTTTATTTTTAGGTGACTGTTTTTCAAAGTTTGGCCTAATAGTAACTGAAAGTTAGAGAACCAAAACAAGTAACCATAAATACCATCAAATAGTGCAATAATACAATATATCTAAAGCAAACTAATTAACGTAAGTCAGTATAAATTAATTTTTCAACAGATTTTGTTTCAAGAGGAAACAAAATACCATATATAACAGAAAGTATTCAACTAGGATTGCAAATGTTTTTAAGTATTTAAGTGTTCCTTTTGGAATTTTACTTTTGATATACTGTATGCTGAAATCAAGCAGAAAATATTTATTTATTTATTTATTTTAAAGAGACAGAGTCTTGCTCTGTCACCCACACTGGAGAGCAGTTGCTTGATCATAACTCACTGTAGTGAATTCCTAGGCTCAAATGATCCTCCACCTCAGCCTCCCAAGTAGCTGGGACTATAGGAATGTGCCAACACGCGCTGGCCCAGAAATAAACTGCCAAATTCCCGGTTAGTAGTTCAAAATTAGTGTTTCAATATTAGCCAATTAGCTTCAGTATATCTGATACCTCATTTCTTTTCAATTGATAATAGTAATTATGGGTAAGATAAAAATGTTTTGCTGGCCGGGCACAGTGGCTCATGCCTGCCTATGATCCTAGTACTCTGGAAGGCCGAGGAGGGTGGATCGTGTGAGCTCAGGAGTTCAAGACCAGCCTGAGAAAGAGCGAGACCCTGTCTAAAAAAACAAATAGCAAGGTGTTGTGGCAAGTGCCTGTAACTCCAGCTTCTTGGGAGGCTGAGGCAAGAGAATCACTTCAGCCTAAGAGTTTGAGGTTGCTGTGAGCTGTGATGCCACAGCATTCTATCCAGGGCAACAAAGTGAGGCACTGTCTAAAAAAAGAACAAATATAGCCATTGAATATAAGAACAAAGAATTTTAATTTCTATTAAACAGAAACTGGTATTTTCACAAAGGTTTAAAAAAGTAAAAATTTTTTTAATTTTAAAATATTCATGTATAGCTCAGATTTTCCCTTCAAAATAATGAAGTTTACACATTTATTATACTGTACTAAAAATTACACTATCCAAAAAAGAATTAAAATAGAGAATCACCATCCATTGCTGTTTGTACCATCTTTAGGCAATACCCTTTCTACTTTAGAGTCAGAAACTTAGGTTGTGCCACCTGTCACTGGAACCTTAAGCAATTCACTTTACCCTGTCTGCCTCAGTGTTTCCATTCATAAACAGTAATAATAAAATAAGTCTATACAGGCCAAGTGTTTAGAACAATTACTGGGCCAAGCACAGTGGCTCACGCCTGTAATCCCAGCACTCTGGGAGGCTGGGTGGATCATTTGAGTTCAGGAGCTCAAGACTAACCTGAGCAAGAGTGAGACCCCATCGCTAAAAAAATAGTTGGGCATTGTGGCACATTCCTATAGTCCCATCTACTTGGGAGGCTGAGGCAAGAGGGTCACTTGAGCCCAAGAGTTTAAGGTTGCTATGAGCTCTGACGCCATGGAATCCTACTGGGGGCAAGAAAGTGAGACTCTATCTAAAAAAAAAGAACAATCACTGGCTTACTGAAAGTACTATATAAATGTTGTAAAAAATAATTATTTTTTATAAGGTTGTAGTAATTACCATACAAAAGCATTCAGTACCAGTACCCAACACACAAAAAAAGGAACTCAATAAGTGTTTGTTAAAAAGAAAGGCCAAATATCCATCTATCACTTCATGGGTAAAAATAATTTGTCAATAACCTTCCAACAGCATCCTTGAAAATATAAAGGAATATAATCAGAGCAACGCTGTGTCCTGCATCTCACCTCTGCAGCCATGAAAGCCAACGTGTGCATCCCATGGGTGTAGCCTGTGACACAGCAGACCACCGCTAACCCACAGCAGGAAAGCAGCATAGCAATCAGCAGCGACAGGACTCGACCATGACTACTCATGGGTGTCGTGGGAGAAAAGGAAAGCTGAAACACACAAAACGGGAAGACAGCTCATTTTTCACAGCAGGGTTTAGGTCACCGAGAAACTCAAGGTCAACCTTGGCATCTTTGCTTGGGGGTCTGTGAAAAGTATCCCATTGCTGCACTGTCAAAATTCTCCAGTGACCCAAATATAAGCTGGTATTTAGAGATCCTGATCATTTCATTTACCAAATATAACTATGCATTATATTTTCATCTCTTATTCTCTCTCTCCTTTTTTTGGTTAAGCAGGCCGGGGTCAGGTTTGAACCTGCCAACCCTGGTGCACAGGACTGGCGCTCTAACCACTTAACTACTGGTGCCCTCGTCTCTTATTCTCAAGGATCCTCCTACCATTGAGATTATAAACCTCTAGAAGCAATTTTCCAGGGGTATCCAATTCTGTCTTCTAACATTCTACAGGACTCAGGACAGTGCCATGTTCTGTGTGCTTCTTTCTTAAGCTTGCTTTAATCTTTTTCTCCAAAATTCACATTCCTAGTCCTTTAGGGATAGGACAACCGAAATGTCATACAGGTACAAATTTCCTACTATTACATTGTTATGTTACTGTTATTCAAGGAGAGGCAATGGCCTGAAAAGAAGGCCTAGGGCTGAGATTCCTGAGCTAGTAGGTGTAGATTAAAAAACCAGTTTGGGAGGTTAAAAGCTCCTGTTATGACACTAAAGGAGGGGGGCTGAATTGTGAAAGAAATGAGGGCATTGAGAGTGAGATTAACTCACACAGAGGGGCGAAGCCACATGGTCCAGGAGGATGGAAGCAACAAAACGGGGATGGGGGGTTTGGGGGGGAATGGCCCTGGAGTTTAACTGACAGCAGAACTGAGGGTGCACATTTACCCAGGACCCAAGAGATTATTAGTTCAGGGCACTAATGGGTGGGGGTTCACTGACACAGCTCTGATTTAAAGCCAAGAGGCAGATCTGTACCCATACAAAAAAGAGATACAATCTCTGTGACCAAGAAAGCTAACAGAGCTAATTCAGTCCTGGCCCAGGGGTGAAAACAGTATCAACTAGTCAGGAAGAAAAGCTCAAAGAATTAGGGTGAGAGGAGGGAGAATATAGGAGACAGAACAGAAAATATCTAGAAGCAGCCACGTTTTTTAGTCAGTTTCTAAAGCAAGGTTTCCTTACACTGAGATCAAACACTTTGTTTAGGTGAACTGACCCCACCTGGGCTGTATCTTAATACACTACGAGGCTGGGGAGGAAACCTCCTCAGGAGACCCTGATTCAGCATCCCTGGGCTGCTGTGGAAGGCTGCTCAAAAAACAGGCAATGGGTGCCTGATGCAGGAGTCTTTCCTTCCAGAGCTATCCAGACACGCCTGCTGTGGCTCATTCATGTTGCTCGATTCAAACCTGGCAAAGGGGTGACTAGGCCAGCAAAGAGCTTAGCTAAAAACTCACATATTCAAATCGGTCCTTGCAGAGCTGAACCATCAGGTGCAAAAATACAAGTCCAGCAAACCAGAGGCACCACATGACCACTTCTTCCACCGTCTGGACATTCAGCACACCAAAAATGAAAATGAACTTGTAGAAAATAAAATTCCAAAACTTGTCTTTGAGATGCTAAAAAAAAAAAAAAAAAAAGTTTATAAAGGTGAGTGCCATCATATCTAACAGTTTAAGAAAAGTTAACATAATAAAATCTGGCTTCTATCAAGGAAATATTCTGTACTTAGGTTTCTAACAATTGTCCACATCAAAATAGAAATAAAAAAAAAAGAGGCCCCCTGAAGAATAGATGTGAGATACACAGAAAGTAATTTGTAAACTCTGGGCTAAAACCCTAAATCAGTTAAGGAATTTTAGCCATTACAAGGGTAGTGATATTGTCCAGTTATGTACTAAGAAATAAAAATACCTTATCCTTTCAATTCACAATAAAAAAACAATGGTAAGGACTATCAATATCATTTTTAAAATTCCTGCCCTCTAGATTCTTAAACAATAGAAATATTCTCCAGATTAAAAAAAAAATACACGTCCGTTTTCCAGCCCATAATCAACAGAGCACAAAAAGTACAAAGAAAATTAAAAGACATGTAAAAATGATGCCTTAACATTTTTATGCATTTGTCTTCTTCTAAAGTGCAAAACACATTAATTTTTGTACACTATTTGCTCTCACCTATGATCTTGTGAAAACCTCACCAATGCCAATCAATATTCTCTGAATATACCCAGATACCACTTTAGTGGTTCCAGATGGAAATGACACTGTTTTTAATTTTTTACCATGGTGAAAACATTATAATAAACACCTTTGTATGTATCATCAGCACAATGAAATCAAAGATTACAAATGTTTTTATGGTTTATAAGTAATATCCACCTGATTTCCAAAGTTCTGTAAGTATATATTCTCATAAGCAGTATGTATATATATTGGCTTTACTGACCTCTGTGGCTCAAGAGGCTAGGGTGCCAGCCACCTACATGGGAGCTGGAGGGTTCGAATCCAGCCTGGACCCGCCAAATACAATGACAACTACAACCAAAAAATAGCCAGGTGTTATGGCAGGCGCCTGTGGTCCTGGCTACTTGGGAGGCTGAAGCAGGAAAATCGCTTAAGCCCAAGAGTTTGAGGTTGCTGTGAGCTGTGATGTCACAGCACTCCACCCAGGTTGACAGCTTGAGACTCTCTGTCTCAAAAAAAAAAAAAAATTATTACCCTAAGAAAAAAGAAGGCCCCACCAAGTATTAAAATATACTATTGAAGCACCTATGGGGGTGGGAAGAATTGGATGAAGAGAGTAAGAATGCAAGTATGACCTCTCGGTATACTTTGATATGGAATTGGAACCAAGCAAATCTTTACAAATTAAAAAAACTTTTTAAAAAACAAAAACAAGCAAAATGAAAAACAAATTGATGGATCCTTAAACATAAGATTTTAAGAACTTACACACACTATATTCTGTACAGAGAACAAAATTCTATTGTACAGAGAACAAAATGAAATGCAAATAGTCAGAGGATTCCCTAACTCTGTCCACCAAAAAAGCCAAGACACCCCAAGAGCAATAAGCACACAGAACTGGGGTGGGGGTGCGGGGGGTCTTGGCTTCTGAACACCATCACCCAGTAAGATGAACTAGGCATCCTTAAAAAACGTCTGTTTCCAGACCTGGGGCAGGGAAAGTATAAGCTGAACCTATGAAATTTTGTGCTACAGTTTTAAATCTTGGCTTTGCCACTTAGTTGCTACATCACCTTGGGAAAGTCACAGAACATTTCTGTGCTTTGGTTTCCCCATCCCAATAACAGTATATACCTCACAGATCGTTGGGGGGGTTATATAACTTAATATGTACAAAGGGCCTGATAGGTGCCACAGTAGGCATTAGGTGCTGGAAAAAAGAAAATCAGAAACTTCCTTACCCTAAACCTCTCCTTAATAGTTTAATATTTGGTTCATTTTAGATATTCAATGTTTCTGCCTCTAGCATTACTCTAATTTTTGAACTTTAAGCATATACAGAGCAAACCATTCCACAGAGTTCTAACTCAAAATGGTTCCTAATAAATGCTACTGCCTGACATTAATCATAAAATAAGCCAACCCAAAACAGCATGGCAGGTGATCTATACTGAATAAACTCAAAGTAAAAATCTCTGAAATCCTCCAAGGTTATGTTTTCTATAAATTTTCACCTGATAGCTAGAAGGAAATGCCCACCAGTGGCAGATCCATGCACCAGGCCTGCCTGATCTGATTTCTGTTATAAATCAAAATCTTGAAGAAGAAAATGAAACATGACGAAAAGTTTGAAGAAAAAGTATCAAAGGAGCTTTTGCAACTACAAGAAAACCTCCTCTATGTTCTAGGGGAGGTCTTGACTCTATCTAGGACCCCTAGAGTTGATGCTCTGGAGAAAATACTGAACCCTCACTAAGGAAAAAATCCCTGGGAAACAAAACAGTCCTCTTAACAGCTTTCAAGGGCTCAAACACAGAGTAACCACATTTCAGCACTAAACTAGGTCCTCATTTGAGTTTACAAAATGAGATCTGAGTTGAAAAGGGCAGGCATGGACAGAATACAACACTGGGCTTTGGACACGCTGTGAAGCCACTGTTACACTTTCAATGTGGTTAAGTCCCCAACGTCTTATCACCGGGATGAGTGAGAGTAAAATATACTTTTGTTCTTAGGTTGTTTTGAAGGCCAGTTCTAAATTCTTGCTTTATAACACACCATTCTACACTGTACCCACTAAAACCCTCGGGGAACTGCCAATTTATACAGTGTGCTTGTGGCATTAATTCTTTATTGGAAGCGACCCTGCCCATACACACATTCAGAGAGTTATGTTCAAATTTCAGACAATCTCACCTAACACAAGAACAAGTCACCTAATATTATGCCTGCAGAACAATAAATCTTAAATTTACTTTTCCACAGAGAAAAATCTCTCAGTGAATTCCTTTGGAAAAGAATCCATATTCTAAAGAGTGATGTTTATGATCAAGCTAAAAATCTATGCTTCTTGAAAAACTACATTCATAAAAGCCATGGGGAAAATAGCTATCAACAACAATATTGGGACAATCTGGCTACACTGAATATAGACTGGATTAGACAAAGTGCTAAATTTCCTGATTTTAAGTATTGTGCTGTAGTTATATAAGAAAATGTCCTTAATCTTTAGAAAATACATATTAAAGTATTTAGAGGGTAAAGAAATATGATGTCCACAACTCACTCTCGAATGGATCCAAAAAATGTATTTATAAGTAAAAAGTATTAAAGCAAATGGAACAAAATATGAATAACTGGTGAATCCAGATGGAGAGTGTATAGGAGCCTGTTGTATTCATGGAAGTTATTTCCTAAGTTTGAAATTATACCAAATAGAAATTACAGAAAAATAGGTATCTGGTCACAAGAATCCGTGCTTTCCATCTCGACTTACCTGCCTCTCGCTCACCCGCAGAGGGCCGAACACAATACACTGGATGAGCTTAGCCACCAACATCAAAACACAGCAGGCAGTGTTTACGAGAACCTGTACACAACAAAGAAAGTTTATTTCTTCCCACTGAAAAATAAAGCAGCTCTAAAAATTTCATATTAGGAATTCAGCCATCATTTCCAATGAGGCTTTCCAAAAGGAGGGACACTTTTATGAGTAGTGGGGTCAAGATGAAGAGTGGTGAAGAGACGCACGAGCTTACCCATTAACCCACAATTCCTTGTCCCAATATGCAGCCGCTAGCAGACCACCTTACCTTTCAGTCTTAACTGAACTGTACATAAACCACAGACTGTACCTACAAAACTGTATCAACCTGGGACCTGCAGAGACTTCCCCAGCACATCATTCCCTACATTAGGATTTTGGTGGCCTTGAAGAAAACTGCTGTAGAAAGTGAAATTATCATGAAAAGTAAAATCCATCACCCAAATATCCTTCCCTCCCAAACTAATAGGAGGATGAGGGGGATAAGAGTATTCATGGTAAGAAAAAGGTCACAAGACCATGAAGATCTGATATAACCAAAAAAATAGGTATATTTCAACACATATTGCAATGGGACAAACTGCCAACCACAAATGAAATGTTCTCCATGCTTGCTTGGTGTTGGCTTCAAAGGGAAGGTTCCGGAGCCTTACAGGGGAGTGGAGGGTGGGAACAGAAAAGAGAGGAAAAGAAAAATGGGGAAGGAGCTGAGAAATGAAAGACCCCAATGCAAAACAAAGGCCTCCTTCAACAGACAGTGAGGAAACTTTTTTTTTAATACTTAAGAGACAGAAATTCTTACACCTAAATGATAAATCCAAATGCTTATAAAATGGAAGCATGGGCTGTCCCTGATGAAGCAATTACACAACTGATGCTGAAACGATTTTCAAAACTCTGAACGCACCAAAAAAGTCAAAGGACCTTGATAAAGACAGTAAAGGTGACTTTTGTGGAGATCCAATGAAAAGGCAAAGGCCGCTTCAACCTGGGATTCACTACGTTTACAGGAAAGTGACCATACTCCTCTCCCCAAGTCATTCTTCCCTCTACTTTTAAAAGCAAATGATAATTTAAAGGAAAGAAAAGTAATGGAAGTGAGTAATTTAACACAGCAAGCTCCCTCGGAGCTCTTCAGTACCTCCTACTACCCTTGGCTTTGGGAGAAGACATCATGGAAGCCTTGATTCCTACAAACAACTAAATCAAGTTCTATTCTGCCAAGGAAATACGGGATATATTCTTAAGAGATGGATGCAAAAATAGTTCTGTTTATAAAAGAAACTGTTTGGGTACTAAAATCCTTCAAATAACCAGGGGGAAAAAGCCTTGTTACCTAAAACATCCCAATCTGTGACTTCCTTGTGTAACAGACCTATTCAAGATGGTCCAGATACCTCGGAAAGCTAATTTTCAAGGTGATGGAAGAGATAGTAAAAAGGCTCATCTTTGTTGTGATCTAAACCAGTCAATCTCAGCCATGTTAATTAAGACAAATTTGTGTCATAAAACACAAAAAACACAACCCCTCAGGCCACGTCCCCTAAACATCCCCAAGCTGAATTAAAATGCAAATTTTTAAAAGAGAATTCTTCCCAGTTTTGCAGGCAGGCATATGAATTTTAAAAATAAATGCAGCAAATTTAGCGCCTGTTCGTACTGAGCACCAATATGACACCACAAGTGGAAAACCCCACACCTGACCTCATGCAACAGGTCACAGTCAAAACACAGGTACACACCACACAGTTTATCCAGTGCTATCGAAAGAAAATAAAACAACCTTCAGGTATGTGTGTAAGGTGTAAATGAAACATAAATGAGTTTCGTGTTTACACTTGGGTTCCATTCCCAGGATATTTCACTATGGGTATGCAAACACTCCAAAATCTGGAAAAAAAACCTGAAATCTGAAACACTTCTGGTCCCAAGCATTTCAGATAAGGGATTATGTAACCTGTACAGAAACACACAATGGTACCAGTCCTCATTTAAAAAGCAAATCCCAAAGCACTTGCTCTACAGAGCTAACGCTTCATAATTTTTCCTTGTAAGTAGAATCCAACTTAAAGGAATTCATAAGATTACTATTTAATAGCAGAAAAAATGAAAAATAAACATCCATTGGGGAGACTTAGTTGAATAAATTGTAAAACTTCCATTTAGTGGAATATAAGTGAAGTTAATAAAACCAACTTGGCAGCTTTATACTTACTAGCATTATATAGAACCTTCAGGATAATTTATTCACTGAAAAAAAAGCACAGTGCAGAAATGTGATTACTATGTTATGCTATGCTCTGTGTAAGAAAGAACATGTACACGTACGTGTTTATATAATATGTAGATGTGAACTGGGTTAAAGACTTGATGGGTATTTCTCAGTCTCCCACTTAACACCAGCACTAATTAATAAGAAGCAGTAATGGCCATTTCTGGCAGAAGGAAACAGGGATATTGGGGCGGGGGAGGGGGAGTCTTTTTCACTGCCTATCACTTTCGTAGCATTTAACACCTGTACCACAAGCGTATATTACCTAGTTTTTAATTGTTTTAAAATTTAGAATCTACTAACTAATCTGACCAGTTCTGAAAGGCCACGTTATTTTTCTCACCATATGATGACATACGGATGAGTAACGAACCAAAACTGGGTGGCCAAAGTCACATGTTAAGCTTGTTCAAACACACAGTATTCCCACTATACTAAAATACTAAAATACTACCAAAAAGCTTCTCACAGCTATACTGCTATCAAAAACTTAAATGTTTTTCCCCTAATCTCACCAAATGCCTTTATTTTTTTCATTAATCTACAGAAAACTGAAAAAAACAAAAACAAATTTTGCTTGTTCCTGAACAGTCTATAATAGGTCAGAACTCAGTGATCCAAGCAACCCTACTGAACCAAGCTTAATGTTAAGGCCCCTTACTCTAAGGCCCTGCGAGAAAATTTCCCTCCCAGAATGGCTCTTTTTTGCTGTTGAGAAAAAAATCATAAACTCCCAGTTAGGCCTGCCTGGGAGGAAAAGGGAGGAAAGTGATTAACAAATGGTGTGGCTACATTTATCACCATTTAACTGTGGAGAAAGCTGTGACCCTGTTAAAGGTGGCCACCAGTAGGGGATTATTTATGAGTTTGTGATGACATGGAGTCTTGTCTCAGCCTTCTACCTAACACCAAGACTGCCTCCCTCCCCACCACCATTTGATGGTTCCCTCCATTTCAGGACAATTCATACATTATTACCTCTCTGCAGCCTCCCAGAGATAAGTACAAAATACTAAGATACAGACTCCCCATTACCACATCAATAATTGCCGAGTTCCTCTTTTAGGGAGGTAAATAAAGATACATATGCAAAGCACACCTAGTAATCAAACAGCACTCCCCTCCACCCTTACCCAGAAGGTGTGGCCTTTATTTTGAACTCATCTAGGCCCATATCCAATTACTTATGAGTTTAGCATTTTTTTTTCCCCTTTTGCTGCCCCAACATTTCCAGAGCTAACATTTTTCTCCCACATTCTTTGGGGTATTCAATTCATAAAGACCCCAACCTAGGAAGTCACTTCTAGCTCTTAAATTGTATGATTATGTGACTATAACAGGCTCTTTAAAACAGGAGTTGGCAACTTTTCTTTAAAGGGCTCTCAGTAAATACTGTAGGCTCTATATTCTTATTAATTTTTTTTACAGCCTTAAAAAATGTAAAACCCATTCTTAACTGCTAAGACTGCACAAAAACAGGCTGCTACCTTTTACCTGTCCGTTCTAAACCGCCAATTCAATTTTATCCTTTTTTGGTTTTGGTGTTTTGTTTTGTTTTTTCCCCCCCTAGACTTCTATTTAAGTTATTTGTTTGGAGAATTACTAAGAAAATCCTAAAAATAAAGAAATAATGCTATATTGTTTGCATATAATTAAGTCAGAACCTTAACACGTTTCCCAATTCTATTTCTCCATCTACATGTCTTGCTCTTAAAATTTCTGAAGCGAATCTGTAAAAAAACAGAAAAGGGAAAGAAAGTGATGAAAATAATGAGTAAGAATAAATAAGCAGAAAACCCAAAACACCTGAACAATCCAGAAAAATGCTGGAAGTGACATCTGAGGAATGTAAAGTAAGACTAGAAATGAATAACAAACTTATGGGGAATAAAAGCTTAGAGTGGAAGTTCTAAAAAGACTTATGGAGACAAGTGACCAAGTCAAATCTGCATAATTATTAGTGTAAAAACCCTGGAGAGCCCCCCCAACCTGTTTTCAATATCAGGTGTCCCGGAGAAGCCTCCTTGGGAGGAGGTGGTTTTGGGTGATCTCCTGTGCTCTTCCCACTCTACATAAACCCCTCTTCCACAGACTGTCTTCTGAAAAAAATCATCTCATTGTGACAGCCCTCCCATGCCTCCATGCCCAACCTTCATTTAACCCCCATCAGTGGCTTCCCACTGTCCACAAAATAATGCCCACACTCCCTGATAGAGCAGGCAAGGTCAAGGTTACAAGACCTTCACACACCACCACTGCCCCCCCACCCTCTCCGGTCAGTTTCTCAAGCACTAGTGTGCCCAGAATCAAGGAAGGTATTCATTAAAATGAAGATTTCAAGGCTCCACTCCTCTCCTCTCCAGTCAAAGCCAAGGAAACTATATTTTACAAATACCCCAAGGACAACTAAACCCATCTGCCAGAGGGACAGATTTTGAGAAACAAACCTTCAAAGGGGTTGCTTACCCCTTCCTGTCTCTCACACCTGGCCCCACTTCCCCTACACCTACCGGGCTTCACCTTCTCAACCCTCCTCTTAAATGAGAAGATCGGACAGATTTTTTATTTAACAGCCCAGCTGATGGACCACTCTCTCACTCTGCACGTGCCCAGTACTGTCCTCTCCTATGCCACACTGAGCTTCCCACGCTATTTTCTCTACCTGAAATAGCTTTCCCTGTTTGTTGAGACCATTCCCTACTTCTAAGCCTAAGTTTAACAACCACTTGCCATGAGTCCTTCCCTAGGCAAAATTCCTTTCTCCGTCCACCAAACTCCACTGTATTTTGTATATATATA